CGACCCGCCCGGGGGGGGGGGGGGGCGGGGAGTGCCCCCGGTGGCCAATCTCACTGACCGGGGCTGGGGGGGGTGTCCCCCAGTGGCTGATCACACTAACTGGAGTGGGGGGGAGGCCATGACCAATCTCACTTGCCAAAAAGCGGTGCGGCTGCTTTTGCTGGAGACCCCACTCCACACCTGGCAACCACAGGGGGGCACAAGTGTTTCTGCCTGCCCCTGCCCATTGCCTAAACAGGGAGCATGGCCTGAAAGGGGTGCACCAGAGCTCTCAGGGGGTGCACGCGCACCCCCATGCGTCGCCACTGATGAAGGGGCTTCCATATGAGGAGAGACTCAAGAGGCCAGGCCTATTCAGTTTAGAAAAGACATGCAGGGGGTGGGTGGGGACAGGGATGGGACACACACATGATAAGGGTTTACAAAATACTACATGGCGAAGAGAAAGTAAATAGGGATTCATTATTTACTCTCTCTCACAATACAAGAACTAAGGGTCACAAAATGAAACTAGTAGGTAGTAAGTTTAAAGCTAACAAAAAGCAGTTCTTTTTCACACAGCGTGTAATTAATGTCTGGAACTCGTTGCCACCAGGTGTTAGGGAAGCTGACAGTTTAGCTAGATGCAAAAAAGGACTGGACAAATTCTTGGAGGAAAGGTGCATCAGTAGCTATTGAGTATGGAAGTTAGGGATATAGCCTCTGAATAAGAGCTTCCTAGACCTTAAATGCTGGAGGCTGCACGTGTGAAAGGAACAGTGAAAAAATTTAGTTCACACCCTGTTCACTCCCCCAGTTTAGCATCCACTCTCTGCCAATATGTGACACAAGATAATGAGCAAGATGAACCTACGGTCTGACCCAGTACATAGCAATTCTTCTCTTCTGCCGATTGAGCAGCACAGGCTGAAATGGCGGAGGACGGGGAGGCTGACTGAAGTGGCCAAATCAGAGGTACAAAACCAGCAATAAAGCATGAAAACGTCCCCTAGAAACCAGTGGCCTGCAAACGGTCCTAGAGTTAGAAGACACCATTTAGAACAGGGGTGTCCAGCCTTTTTGAATGTGGGGACGTATCACAAACTTTTTATCACTCAGTGGGCTGGCAAGCCATATTCAAAGATGTCACAGGAAGTGGTATCATATCAGGAAGTCATGTCACATGATCTTTGACATCAATGAAGTTGAAGGGGTTGACATGGTGCTGCAGGAGCCGCTTGGCTACAACCGGGTTGACCTGGTGCTAGAGAAGCCGCGGGGCCAGGCCGGGGTTAACCTGGGGCCCGCCTGGCCTGCCAGTGCCATGCCCAAGTTGACATGGTGCTGCAGGACCCACCAGGCCAGAACTGGGTCAGCACCGCCCAGGAAAAGCAGCGTGCAGCTGAAGCCGGCTTCCCACATGCTGCTGGGGACGGGAGGAGGCCAGTCAGGTCTGCACTGGCCAGCAGAAGTGGCTGCGGAGCTGTGTGCCGCTCGGGACTGACCGGTGCAGGCTTGTCGCGTCCTGAGCGGCACACGGCTCTGCCGCCTTTTCTGCTGGCTCGTGCAGACTCGGCCAGGCTCCTCCCATCCCCAGCAGCACATGAGAAGTGGCCCCCTCAGGGCCTTGCACGCGGGTGGCCGGGTCCGGAGAGCCACAGCGCCCAGAGGGAGACTGGCCGGGGGAGCAGGCGCAGCCTTGCTGTGGGGCAGGGCAGGGTAGCGGGGCTGGCTTGAAGCAGGGGGGGAGGCAGGCACTGGCCTCCTGCACGGGGCCGCACCCCGGGCCCTGCAGGGGTAAGCAGGTACCCTCCCCTTGCTGCCAGCTGGGGCCTGTGGGCCGGCCCTGCCCGCCTCGCCACTGCCCCACCGCAGCGGCTCCGTGCTTCACAGTGCTCCCTGCCCGCCTCACCGCTGCTGCTGGGTCCACGCTGCTGAAGCACCACGCTCCATGGCACCGCCGCCGCAAGCCAGATAAAATGGCTTGGCGGCCCGCAGGCCGTATGTTGGACAAGCCTGATTTAGAATATGTGATGGAAGCAGCTCTGAGGAAACAGACTAGGGGGTTCAGAGGTCCTTCTACTCTCAATAAAGGAAACCCCAGGGGTGACTGGATACACTACAGAGGCCAGAATAATGTTGGACAACAACTGCACTCTTGGAAGAATCGAAAGGACATGGCATCTCACCACCCCACCCTTCCCATCAAGGTCACTGGGTTCCAAGGTGGAACCAAACAGCTGGAGCTACAAGAGTGACTGAAAGATACTGTGGCAATGAACCCAGAGCCACATGCTGCACCCTCACCTTGACTCGTGTGTCTTTGTGCATCAGCATCTCTTTGTTGTTCTCCATGATGCGGTTTGCTATGACCTTGTTGATGGGCACGAGCAGCAGGGCCAGGGCCAGGCCTCCCAGGAAAGCCACGCCCACCTGCTGGTAGAGGAGGTAGAGAGTGATGGCAAACTGGAAGGGGAGGCTCCACACCTCATGGAAACTGATGCAGAAGTTGATGAGCCGATCGGTGTCTGTGCTCATGAAGTTGACGATCTCCCCCATAGTGAATCTAGCCAGGCTGGTGCTGCTGACCCGGAGGGCTTTGCGGTATATGGCAGAGATGACTGCTGTGCGCACCATCAACATCACCTTGTTCACCTCATAGCTGAACTGGTTCCGTAAAAGAGCACCCAGAAAGGAGCCAACAAAGAGACCCACGGCATACAGTACCCCATGGCTCAGGGGCTCCTGGCGTGACTCCATGAAGTTAACCAGCAGGTTCAAGAGCAAAGGACCTGAGAAACCCAACAGGCTGCCAGCCAGCTTCAGGAGCCCGAGGGAGTAATATCGGAGCCCAAAGGCTGCATGCAGCACTGAGAGGAGTCTCACAGCCTTCTGAGTGCTGTGTGAGCTTCCAGGAGCATGGAGGGAATCTCCCCTCCCGTCACCTTTAGAAACCATTGGGCTACTGGGAGATACTATCTCTTCCTCCTCTTGCCTGAGAGCTGCTTTTTCCTGCCAGCAGGAGTAGAAATGGTCACGGACCCTGGCAGCCTGGAGTCGTCGAGGTAGAAGGTAGACATCTTGTGGCCGATTCAGCTTCCACTGATAGCCGCGCTGCATAAGAGGATTTGTCCAAGTATAGAAGAAGCGTGAGAGCCAGCTCTCGCCATCCTCTGCCACTCCCTGCCAGTCAGGTGCCAGGATCCCTGACTCTGAGAAGGGAGGGTCATGCTGCCAGAGGTCATTGATGGAACAAAATTCTTGCCTGCTGGCAACAGGAGTGATGTACCCAATCATATAAATAAGCAGGGAGGCCAGCTGTAGGAAGAGGATGGAAAGTCTAAAAATGAGAGCAGGATGGTCATGGAACCAGACCATCTCATGCTGGCAGTGCCAAACCAGTGTGATGACAAAGCCAGGGATGGGTAAGAGGGTGAGGAGTGCCATGGCTGCAGGGCCACGGGAGAAGCCATAAACGGACCTGTAAAGCATGAGAAGTGTCAAGCTGTGAGTGAGCCATGCCAGCAAGGCAATGCCACTTGCCAGCACTTCCAGGTACAAAGGGCCCAGCTGCTGCTGAGACATGACTGCTGGGATTATGTCAAGGATGGGCAGGCCAGCAAGTATGAAGGAGGCAGCAATTCTGCATTTCCAGCCAGGTCTGTGATGAGCCCCAGGACCAGGAGATCTAGTGAAGAAAACATTGGAGAAAGCTTTACAGTGGAACTAGCAACCATCCCATTACCTGGGACTCGATCCTCTGCTTCCTTCTGTTTTCTTCCTACCACATCTATCCACTCTCAGTCCATACCCCTTGGGGTGATGCCAGGCTCTCTATTCCATTCCCCAGCTTCAGAGCATTTAGAAAGGTAGGGCCTGCCGTGATGGATGATGTGTCCATATAATATGACATTTTTGTCAGTACCAGACAACTCAGAAAGGTACAAGAAAATCCACAGTAGAAGCCAATTGGAATCACCTTCCAATAAGGGAGTTCCCGCCTAACCTGAGGCAGTTTGTGGTAGGATCAGGCCCTGGTGCATGAGAAGTAAAATCTGTTCTAGAATATATTTTTATCCTCTCTAATGTAACTCTGGATGGCTACAATCTCCACACTATGGGGTACCAATCCTTTCTTGGCTTCTGCTAAACTCTTGGCCTCTGTGGTATCTTGTAGTAGCAAGTTCCACCAGCTAAGTGTGCATCAGGCAACAAAACATTTCCTTATCATTTATATGTCTGCTGCCTTTCAGTTTCATTGAAGTGTGTTCTTTGTGGACTGAAGGAACAGGAAAATACAATAGGAGAGAGAAACTCTTCTTAGTTTCTCTCCACCAATTATTACTTTGTATATCTCTGTCACACATCTCTTACTTCAGGCTCATGTCCTCTCTAGCCTAACCAATTCCAGTCTTTTCAACCTCATCCATATAAAAGTTTTGTTCAGGTCTCTGCTCATTCTTATTACCCCAGCCACTTCTGCAAGAGCCTTCTTGAGAGCGAGTGACCAGAGTTACAATGCTCCAGAGGAGACTAATAAATTAATAAAACTGGTTTTTTTCTTTCCCATACATTGGGTGGGTACTTTCATTTAGTAGTCAACAGCAGTGGCCCAGGCTTGCTCCTCAGTAATTATAGTTAATGTAGACTCCAGCTGTGTGTCAGACTTTTCCTTTTTTAAAACAATACAAATTAAGAAGCTGCAGAGAGGCTGCAGTTTGGCTATGAACCAATGAAGGAGAGACACAATAGTCCTCCACAATTATTGAAAGGAGGATGAAGAACTGTTTAGGACAGCTGTGTCAAAGATCTGGCCTGCAAGCTGCATCTAGCCCATGGAACCACATCATCTGACCCCTGATGCTGATTCCATGCAGGGCCAGTCCAGGATCCACCCACATGCTGGCTCCAGTGCCCATGGCACCTGGTTCAACCAGTTTAGGCTCTGTACTGCAAGCAATATCCACCTTGGCCAGAGTGGGTGCCAAGTGCAGTGCAATCCTGGACTGGCTGGAATGAGCACCATGGACACTGAATCCAGCATGTGGTGGGAAGTGGGTCCTTGGGCCTAATCTGGCATGTGAGGCCAGCCCTGCACCATTCATCTGACTTGGGAACCAGTTCTACACTCCATAGGGCCAAATGGGTTTGACACTCCTGATTCAGCTGATATGTGAAATAACTGGGAGGGAGGAGAAAAAACCCTACCATCCTTTATGAACTTTTCTCTGTGCTCCTTTACTATAAATGACAGAAAGGCAGAGGGCTCTGTACCTTGGTGTGCCCACATAGCATGCACTGACTAATGCAAGCATCACGTGAGGAACAGCATTCAAAGTCAGCTGGTTAAAGCAATGGCCAACATTGCCATGTATCCAGACAGGAAGGGGATCTTCTGGGCTAGTACCACACAGATCAGACACTATGTTCTCCATCCTCTGCAACAGCCAGAAACACCTAGGAGAAGAGAAGAAAGAAAAGGAGTTAGATCTGCAAAGAGGTCAGTCACAGGCCAAATGAAGGACAGGTGGGAACAGAAAGGAACATAAGACTGGAAGGGACCTCTGGGTCACTGAGCCCAATCCCTGCTGTTGTAGGCAACTATACTCCACAATCCCTTTCATTAACTAATCAAGGTCCTTCATTAAACTAGTTAAGTTTTTCCCCCACTGCTCTTCTGGGAAGGCTGTTCCAGAATCACAGGGCTTTAGAAACCTTTTGATTTCGAGACTTAAATTGCTCATGGCTTATTTATATTTAAGTCATTTAATAATATTACTCACATATTAACAATACACTCCTTACTTTTCTGCAGGTCACTTAATATAGATTTCAAAGCATTTTATAAACATGTATTAATTACATCTTTCAGACTTTTCTTCCTTCTCATAAGGTAGGCAAGTCACACATGGAATTTGCTGTACCTATAACCACTATGTGGCCACCTGTGACAGACAAACTGTTCTTTAACAATGCATTACAATCGCATGCAACACTTTAGAATGGGAAGTGGAAGAAAAAACCTGTGCCCAGCCAGAAGTGCAACTTATGTTTGTCTTTAAAGATGTTTTTTATACGTTTTATATTAGCAATCTAGGTCTTCTCCAGCTATGCATCCTCCCCATCAGCTGGAGAACTAGTAAGTGATAACATTACTGAACTAAATGAGAAGCTGCAGTCCTTGAGTGGAGAAGGGAATATTTGGTAAGTAGTGTTTAAAATGTGCCCCCCAAGCACTTATGAAAATCCCCAGGCTCATGAACAGAATGGGGAAAGGACACTTTTGTTAAAGAATAGATGTTCCCCCCATCCCCTTCCCCTTCTAATATGGTGGCTCCCAACAAGCAGAGTTTAAGCCTGGGCCAGCAAAATGATGACCGTCTGGACTCGACGTGCCTGAGACAGAGGTGGTTACCTGCCGTAGCCTAAAGCCAGGCAGAAAGCAGGGTTAGACAGGGGTTGATCAGGGGGCATGCACTGGTGCACTTGCACCCCCTTTGATTCCTGCTCTACCCAAAGTTTAAAACCAACTGCCTGGCAGCGGCAGCAGCATTTCTAGTCAGGCAGTGCTGAGGGAATCACTTGACTTCATGGCTCATTAAAGTCTAACTGATCCCTTCTAAACCCTTAATTCCTCCGGTGTTAATAGCCCCCTCTCTCTTTTTTAATGGTCTGGATATTCCACCCATCAAGCTCACTTTCTTCTGCCATACTGTCTGTTTGCTGCTCCTGGTCCCATAGCTCCTATTTCACAGCCCTGCAGACTGTTTTTAACTCAGTCTGAGGAAGTCAGATCGAAGCAAAACCCCACCTTAAACTGAACAAGGCAGCCTGAGGCCCCCTGTGTAGTAGTAAAGCTTCTAGTTTCTTTTTCAGCTGAAGAAAAACACGTGTTGTGCTAGAGGTGACGATGCCTCGCACCACCTGCCCCCGCCCCGTTCTTAATCCTGGGTCCGCCTAGGGCAGCGGTTCCCAATCTGTGGTATGCGTACCACCAGTGGTACTCAGACAACCTGTCAATGGTATGCTTTAACAGATTTATTATAATTACTTTATATGACATTTATTATATTTTTATTATATTTATTATATAAAGTAATTATAATAAATGTATATGACATTATAATTACTTTATATGACAAAAATTTGCTGATGGTACTTAAGGTTGTATCATTTTACATTGGTGGTGTGCAATCTGTCAGAGTTTGGGAACTACTGGCCTAGGGGGTTAGATGTGCACCTGGCAGACTAACCTCATTGGAGATGGACTGCAGGAGCTTGTTTGCTTGGTCACACTGCCTTGAGCAGGGGGCTGGACTAGATGGCCTTGTAAGGCCAGCCTTCCAGCCCTCCTTTCCTCTGATCCTATGACCCCAGCCAGGACACAAGAGGACTCAGGCTATGTGTCTTAGTCTGCACGGTGCACATCTGCCCTGACCCCTAGGATGAGAAGTGGCTCCCACCCTTCTCCCTCTTGTTTCTAGGGTTGCCAACTCTGTTTGAATCTATTCTGTGAGATTTCCAGGACACCAATGTGCCCACGACACACAACATGAATGCGTCTGCAGGCTTACGTATATCAGTTATGGATTACGGTGAGTAAACTTTGTCAGGAAGGCAAAGGCAGTTACTATGACATTTAAAAAACCCACTGGACTACTGCATAAATCGGATTTGACATTTAATACTTATTTCAATGAATATTCTATTATTTATCTTCCGCATGACTGTCAGCAGCCTCCTGGAGATTTGTATCTCATTCCTGGGGGCTCCAGGGCAATCCTGGAGGGTTGGCAACCCTACTTGTTTCTAAATGCAAGCCCAGGGGCACCCAGCCCAGTCACAAGCACACCCTGGGGAGGTGATGGGGGCAGATCCCACCCCTGCTACCCCTGGACAGCCTCCTGCTCTGCAGTGGTCTCGGGGAGCAGCGCTGCCCTGCGCCCAACTAGGCTGGGGTGCTGCTGACCCGCCCGGAGCTCAGCGCGTGGGGCAGGACGAGGGGCACCGCCCCGCAGGCGGGAGACCTTCAGTGACGTAATCGCGATCGCCTTCCGCCCCCCCCCCGGCGGTTTTTGAACCCCGCCGCCCGCCGTACCTCGGATCGGCGGCCCTCAGGCTCCGGGACGCGATCTACAGCAGCTGCAGGGCCCCGCTTCCTGCCCGCCTGCGCCCCCTGCGGCCGGGAGGGTCCCTGCGGGCTGGAGGTCGGGGCAGCGTGGGAGGGGCTCGCTGCGCCTGGGCGGTGGCTGTATGGGGAGGCGCGGAGGGCACCGCACTGGCCCCTTGGGGTTGGGACCGCCCCCGTCGCCTCTCCCTGCGTTGCAGCGAGCTGTGCGCGGCCTCAGCAACGCGTCCACCAACTCCTCCATTTCAACCACGTGTGAAAACAGAATGCCCCCACAAAACCCTCCCACGCCCCATAATCCAGGGCTAAACCAGAGGCAGGGATTTGGTAGGGTGCCATCTTTGACTGGAGCCAGGGCAGAGCTAGATCGGCCCAGAATGCCAGGGATGCCCAGGGTTCTTGGTTCTGCGATGGGCGCCCGCCATTCCAAGACTTGGGCTACAGCACTGGGAACCAAGCATTTAGCCCTGCAGGCCAAACAAATGGCAAGGGATGGTCAACCAGTAGGATCTTCTGGCCCCGCACTGTCTCTGTTGGGCCCTGCACCAGGATCAGCACTGTGCCACCCCAACTGGCTCTGCACGCCCAACATAGCACAGAGGGTGGTGCTATCTGGCCCATGGGGCTTCCCACAGGTCTGGAAATTTGGCAGCAGGCGAATAGCGATTAACACTGCCACTGCTTCCTCACCACCATATTTTCAGACTCGCGGGGAACCCTGTGGCTTGGATGACATGGCTACATGGGTTGAGGTTTGAGCGCCCCTGTACCGCAGCATAAATAGCAGGAGGGAAGCAGCAGAGTGGCCAGGCTCCATGCCCATAACTCCCCCCCTCCCGCCCCATAGTAGCCTGGCCTAAAATATCCAGTATGGGTCTGGGCAAGAAGCAAACCTTTGTGCCTGAAAGCTTGTTTAACATCTCTTGTAACTATTAATTTGGTGCAAGAAAAGATATCACAGAAAAACCCCACCTTTGCCTCTGCAGGTACATTTTTTGGCCCATCACAGCTACAACAGCCCCCTGAGCCTACTAAAATGTTCAGTGAGACATATGAAGGACCTGCAAATGTTAGAATTAAATCCTAATAAACTGGCCAACAAAGAAAGATAGGGAGAAAGGACCTAAGAAATTTGGTTTTATATATACATACATTCCCAGATGTACAATCAATATCAATACAGTACAGGTATAGTTTGCAATAAGCTGTGTGTGGCCACAGTGACCACCAAGCTTTAACCATGTGTAACCAGAATCAGGCCTCCCTAGCAGGCCCAAATATATACACATCCTTGGGTCATACATCTGGGAAAGATGTACATATATCTCCCTTTAAATAAATAAATAAATAAATAATAGAATAGAACGTGTACATCTGGGGAAGAGTAACACAGATGCTTAATGAGAAGGAGAAACCTGGGAAGTAGGGACATCTGAAAGAGGTGTATGGATGACTGAACAAATGAAATACAGGTTGCCAGTGTGATATAGTAGCAAAGAAAGTTAATGTAAGTTTGAGCTGCATGCAGAAGCATCATTGTCTGGAGCAGATATATATGTCAGTCTTTCTCTAAATGGCTCCTTTACAACTACATCTGGAGTATTGTGTGCATCAAATTACAGAAAGATGACAAATTGGATGGAGTTTAGAGAAGTGCAACAAAAACGTTACAGAGCTGGCTGTGCAGAAAAGGCTAAAACATTAAGTCTGTGAAGTTAATTTAATTAATTAATTTTGGTATATGCATGAATGCCACGTGCCCCCAGAGGTTGGGGGAACACGGCAAGCTCCCACAGGTGGTGGCAGCACTGTCGATGGCAGGAGCATAGTGGCATCAAGCAGGGAGTTCCCGCAGGCTGCTGCAATGCTTTTTGTCACAACCCTGTGATTTTGGTGGCTCGGCACGATGGAATTTTCCCGCCACATGAGAGCCTCTTGCACAGCAAAGGGTTTTGTTGCGACAGAAAAACCCCGGTGCAAGAGAGTTCCCGCCATTTGAATGCAAATTTGTGTCCCGCTATTGGCCAGTTCTAAATTATTCCTACGTGGCGGCTAGTAATTGGCTTGCTGGCCGTTTAAAATTTCGTGCGACTTCCGCCCAAGTCGGAGAACTTTGAGCACGCTGCAGAGTGCCTCTAAAGAGATCTGACTTGCGGCTGAGCTGATCGATAGACTGATCACCTATCGATTCTTCTCCCCGTCGCCGAGCGCAATCCTC